GAAAGCAATTTAATAATTTTTTCTTCCGTTTGTGTTACGTGCCACTTTGAGTTGGCCTTTTATGTTAAAACATGAGACTTTATAGACCATTACCCTTGACCACAATAGCACATACACCACATTCTGCCACAGTCCGGACACCTTCAAGAAGCGAGTTAGCAAGAACACCTTCTTCGTTCTGGTTCGTGTCGTCGACGAGCTGTGGTGAGTTGACCTGCCGAGTCAGTCAAAATAAAGCCTTGCATGCCAGGTAAACCAGTCAGACGACGAATCAAATAATCCCCACTTGTCCACCGCCCTCTTCCAGTCTGGTGGAGCTGACCGAGGACATCTTGAAGCAGCTCATGGATCTGGTGTTCACGCTTGTGTGTAACGGCGAGCTCAGCCTCGCCCGTGTCCTCCGCAAGAACATCCTGGACAAGGTGGAGCAAAAGAAGCTGCTGCGGTACACCAACTCCCTCAAGCCGCTCGCTGCTCGAGGGGTCTCGGCAAGGTACTGCTGAGAGAAAGGAAAACTGACGCCGTCTTGTTTCCCCTGCTTACTGTGTTGTGTGTAATGTTTCGTAAGTAACTGAAGCCGAGGCTCTTTACGGTTTGCGTTTCCTTCCAGGCCTGGGACTCTTCACGACTTTCGCAGTCACGAGATTGCCGACCAGCTCACGCTTCTTGATGCTGAACTCTTCTACAAGATTGAGGTGAAGTGATTTCCCTTCTTCCTTTTGGTTGTAATAAGTCTGCTTTACCTCTCGGAGGCATGGAGAATAAACACGGTCATCTGTCATCTTCTCCTCGTCCTGCTTTCTCTTAGATCCCAGAGGTTCTGCTTTGGGCGAAGGAGCAGAATGAGGAAAAGAGTCCCAACCTAACCCAGTTTACAGAGCACTTTAACAACATGAGCTATTGGTAAGACGTGACTTGGAACGGCCGTCTCTTGATTTAGTCTCTCTTTAAATGCTGATACCTTTACTTTCTGACCTGTAGGGTGCGCTCTTTGATAATTCAGCAGGAGAAAGCTCAGGACAGAGAGAAGCTGCTTCTCAAGTTCATTAAGATAATGAAGGTAAGGAATCTTACTTTTAAAAAGGCAAATTCACTTTATGGCAGCATTTAACATTTATTCTCCTCTTCTTATTCCAGCACTTAAGAAAGTTAAATAATTTCAACTCATATTTGGCAATACTGTCCGCTTTGGACTCTGCCCCCATCAGGAGATTAGAGTGGCAGAAACAGACCTCTGAGGTGAGCTGTTTTTTTTTCTTTTTTTAAAGGGGCAGTATTATGTAATATCAACTTTTTGAGCTCTACATCATGTTATGATGTTATTCCCTCATCAAAAACATACCTGGGATGCTGCTTTGATTCTTTCATGTATGTTTGAGAAATCCTTTAACCTCCCATGGCAACCATTCAGCTGTGCAAAATCCTTCACTCAGCTCCTTCAGACTAGCCAGCAGCAATTAGCAAATACCTGGTGGATCTGCACATCAGCTGAGCTCTCAGTGAAATGCTGCTTAAAACGTTGTTAGAGTTAATAGAGGACCAATGTTGTGAGGACTTCCTGAAGAAGGAGTTTCTTAAAGAGACAAAGGCCCAATTTCAATTTTTACGTCATATTTGATAAATGCAGGATTCTTATAGCAACTGAATGTAACATAGTTACTTGATCGTGCTATAAAATGGCACTATATATGTCTGGAAAATACATGATACTGCCAATTTAATAAAAGTTTTTATTTTTTATTTTTTTTTTTTTATCTTATATTCACAATAACACACTTATCTCTTGATACTGCTCCAGGGTCTGGAGGAGTATTGCACGCTGATCGACAGCTCCTCGTCCTTCAGAGCCTACAGAGCTGCTCTGGCTGAGGTGGAGCCCCCCTGCATCCCGTACTTGTGAGTAAACTTTCCTGCTCAGACTTGAACAGATCTGCTGCCGCTCAGCTCAACCTGACTTGGTTGTTTTGTTTGATTTCTCCTCCTCCTCCTTCCATCCTTCCTGCAGAGGCCTCATCCTCCAGGACCTGACCTTCGTCCACCTGGGGAACCCCGACCTCATTGACGGCAAGGTCAATTTCTCCAAACGCTGGCAGCAGTTCAATATTCTGGACAGCATGCGGCGCTTCCAACAAGTGTAAGACTGCTTACAGTTTCAGCAGCTGCATTCACACGCTTTGAACTTCTCCTTATGCAATTTGAGAAATTTTAGGCAAAAACTAAAACAAATGCATAATTTTAAAGTTGACTAAAAAACTGGTCTTAAACTTAAAATTTTAAGATTTTAGTAGTTTAAGATTTAATGATAATAGAGCTGCAAGGGTCATCACAGGAAACCTTTATCTGTGCAGTCCAAGAATCTGTAGATTCTTTCTAGTAAAGTAAATGAGAACAAAACCATTGTTGAAAGAAAACTATAAGAAATCCCATTTATAGATTGTAACAAACCATGTAGCACAGAAAGAATTTCAAAGAATATATTTTTAATAACCAGATCACTGTCGTTTTTATGTGTATGACCAAATTACATTATTGTGAAAAGATGTTTATTTAATTTCTCAAATAGTTGACTCAAATACATGCAGTATTTTTTCATATTGTAACAATTTAATAGTTTTCCCAATATACTCTGCCACAACCAGCCCTTTAAAGACATTCTTGATCTTGATGTGGCCCAAAATGAAAATGAGTTTGGCCCCCCTGATTTAGATCAAAGCGTAATGTGTTAGAATGGTCTAGTCAAAGTTTAGACCTAAGTCCAATTGAGAATCTGTGTCAAAGCCTTGAGTTTTGCTGTCCATTCAATCTGACTAAGGTTGGGCTATTATAAAATGAATGGGAGAGAGTTCTAGACCCAAAATACTTGGTGCTCAAAACAAATGTACACCACACTTTTCAGATTGAATCTCAGTATCTACTTTTGTGTTGGTATGGCAGAGTGTTTATTAAGGAACTACTTCATGCCATCTCAGTTTGACCTTTGATAAATTGATCACTTTTGTTTTTTTTCTAATGCATCTGCCCTGTTCTGACCTCAGGCATTACGAGCTGAAGCGCAACGAAGAAATCATCTCTTTCTTCAACGACTTCAGCGATCACCTGGCGGAGGAGGCGCTGTGGGAGCTGTCCCTGAAGATCAAACCCCGAAACGTCAATCGCGCCAAGACTGACCGCGGAGAGAAGACCTAGGGTCCCCCCGCCCCACACAGGCCTTCGACACCGACCTTCAACTGTGCTTCATGACACTAACTCCACTTTATTACACACTAAAAGAACAACGCAAGGAAGCTACCGGGAGACTCGCTCGCGAGGAATCCAGAACAAACTACAGACAACTGAAATGTCACTGAGGTTTACAAAGAGCCCTGCCGCTCTGGGAGATTATAATTTGGGATTACTGTTGCTCTGACTCGGTAGTGGAAATGGAAAGCCGGCATCACGGAAGAGAGAGGAGTCAGAGCAGACGGTGGGATGGGGGAGGGGGGAAGAGACGCTACGGAAATTACCAAAGTCTGCTCCCTGGACTCTTTGATTTAGAGTGGAGCTGTTGCGTGTGAGAGAACAATTTGAATGGTCCATACTTCCCCCACCTCCTCCTCTTGTCCCTTATGTACGTGCCATTTGCTGGTCACCTTCTACAACACTAACAAGTCCTCAACCAGCAGAAGCTCAGGAGCAAACCTGCCGCGAACTGTGACGTGCACACGCAGGCTGCCGGCTGAGAATCTGCTGCGACTGAACCGAAAGGGCAGGACGGGCCCCTACGGACTGGAATCAGTTTGTTTTGAAACTTTTTTTTTTTTTTTTGTGTAAGAATCATGTATGGTTATGACATGTATTATATACAGTGCTCCTTTTGTTCTTAAAAAGGACGTTTATGCTTATGAGAAGAGCTTAGCTTCTCCTAAGTGCCGTATCTATATGCACTAAAAAAAAAGAAAGGAAAAAAAAAAGCAAGGCAAAAACACGAAAAAGAAAAATTACTAAAGATGCTGTGATCTATGTACGTCATACTGAATCATGGAGTGCCGTGTTCAAGTGTAGAGAACCACGAAGCAATCGCAATCATGTCCCAGTCATGTCGGTGTGTAAGAGTGCGTGTCTGTGAGAAGTCCTCTGACTTGTGTGTGTGCGTGTGTGTGTGTGTGTTTGTCACTCCATGTGCTGTAGGAAATTATTGGAATCCTTTTTGGGATAATAATCACAGAAACCCTCAACACCCCCTCCCCCTCCCCCCAACACATCACACTGTGCTCTCAAACTCCAATAAAACAAAAAGCTCTGTTTATATTAAAACCATGGCTGCAGAGGTTTCTTAAATGAAGACACTTAAATACTTCAAAAGAAGTTTCATTTATTGATGTACACTGTTCATAAAGTGGAAAAAAAAACCGTTAAGGCATAGACTTGGCAGAATATAAGCAAGTGCTTTCAAACTGGGAGGGTTTTTTTCCCCCACTTGCCTCGCAAAAGTATTCATACCCCTTAAACGTTAAACAAGCACAAATGTATTTTAAAAGGATCGTATGTGATAAACCAAGATGATGGATAACTGTATCCAGACCCCATGTCTTTACCGTCTTAGAGAACATTATTAAAGCATTAGATATTCTAACAAACCTCGGAGGCCTTCACAGACCAGTTAAGACTTTGATAAAATTACATACCAGTGGACCATTTCCTGATCGACTTCCTTGGGCAACTGGTTGCACTGGCTTTTATTTACTTAAAAGTAAATATGGCTGAATACCAAACCCTATCAGATTTTGTATAAGGTTTGAAAGCCACACACAATTTTTCTTTCACTACACTACGCTCTACATGGTCCATCAGTTTGTAATCTGGCAAAGCGCAGGTAAGTTGAATAGGTATGAACACTTTTGTACCGTAGGAAGCCATTTCAAACCCGAACAGGTACGTCAACATAACCATGTTATTTGTATTAATTTGCTTTAAATATATACTACCCTAACTGTAATAAAGAAGTTGCCTGCATGGTCACATTTAAAAGTGCAAAAGCACGACTCAAAGAAAACATGTTCTTATTAATAATCATAGGACCTGGGTTAGTAACTGCTTATTTACCCATTTTAAAAATCTAAACAAACAAAGCCTTTGGGAACACTGGTTACTTCCGTACAGTGCAGGAACCCTGTTAATAACTACAACTTGTAACACTGAATAACTGACATTACCCTAAACTGCAGAATGTGTAACATTCTGGCAAAGTAACATCAGTTCACGCTGCAGCTCCACGGTCTGGACCTAACTGTTCCCGTTCACTCATACACCCACAACACACACATACATCCTCTCCGTTTCAGTGGGGCCGACTACTAGGCTCCAGCAGGACCCTCTTAATTGGAGGGTTGGTGGATCCGTTCTGCAGGTCGCTCTGCTCCGAGATCAGCCTTTTGCAGGCTCGGCCATGGCTGTTGATGTTTCCCCGCTGCCACTTGCAAATGTCACCATTCAGAATATCCTGGATGTGCTGCACAATCAGGTTGATGGCCACTAAATGACAAATTAGGAAGTTATTAAGGCCGCTATCTATCTCAGTGATACTGAATATAAGCTGGGATTTTTTTATTTTTAAAGATTTCTCACCCATATTGTCAACCCCTCTCGGAATGATGACATCTGCATACTTTTTAGTCTAAAACACAATAGAAGTACTTAGAAATCTAGCTGAAATCATACAAAACATCAACGATGACTACTGTACTTACAGGCAGGCAAAACTCCTCAAACGCAGGCTTTACAAATGTTGTGTACTGATTCAGAATCTGCTCCAGGTCCCTCCCTCGGTTCATGTCTCTCAGCACTGCAAGAAATAAGGTTCTTTGAAATGGAACGGAAATCCTGCAAACATGTGCGTTCGGCGCTTGGGTACCTCTTCGAGACAACCTGACATCTGAATCCGTGTCCACGAAGAGCTTCATGTGGAACATCTCGCGCACTTTCTGGGGGTAGAAAACGAGGATCCCTTCAAAGAGGACGACATCCGCTGGGTAAACCGTGATCCTGTCTTCCAACCTGCAAACAAACAAACAATGAGCTCTCAGAATACAAGGGAACAGGGTGATTTTTCGTCATGACTTCACAATCGTAAAGTGTTTTTGTCTCAACCTGGAATGGGTGATGAAGTCGTATGTTGGCACCTCGACCGGCCTCCCCTCTGCAATGTCCTTCAAGGTTTTGTACATAAACTCGTTGTCGAATGCCTCTGCGAGGCATTGAAGAAGAAAATGATTCATTTTCCATTACAGCAGATTTTTATTCACAATCACACTTTCAAATTTATCTTAGCTTTGCACAAAGCTAATGGAATAGCAAAAGTAAAAGTCTGGATTTATTTACCTGGGTGATCAAAGTTGTATTGTCCTTTAAGGGCTTTAGCCTTCTGATCTGGAGTCAGCACGTTGTAGAAACAGTCCTGGCTGATGATGGCCACCTTTCTCTGGCGGTGGTCCACCTTGTGCTGCCCCAGAAGCTCCATGATCTTGGCGCAAACTGTAGACTGTAAACAACGCATCTCAATTATTCTATTATTAGCTCGCTGTTGAAATAACACACCTCAATATGTTTTTTTTTTTTTTTTTTTTTTTTTTTTTTTAATAAGCTGAAGAATTTTTTTTTTGCCTAGGGGATAACGGTAAAGAGGTAAACATAAAAACATTTT